TTTGCCTCTAAGATGCTGACTTCAGGTAAAGACCCACACACCTCTCACATCTGTGATATGTCAACAAAATATCTTTAATATTTTATATGATTCATGTTCTTTTGTTAAATCAAAATAGTTATTAATTTAAAGAAACTACTATTCAGTTGTAGGTATCTACTGATTCTTAGAGAAGAAAGTATGTATATTTATATTTAACCATTTAATACTTGCCTGGATAATCAGGTATCTTTTTCTCTGCTCTTTGCTTCAGAATCATTTTAGGCTTGCACTAAACATGAGTATTCCAGATGGTAAAATGATTAGGCCTGACCTATTTTTGTGACTTCTGCTCACAATGAAATCTCTATAGTACAGCTGATAGAAGAAGTACATTGCTAAAAGAGCAGGCTTACTAACACTTAAAAAGACTTCTCTACCTACCTATTTTGTTTTTAAAAATTGCAGAAAAAAATAGCACTCAAGTCTTCTGTGTATGGTCAAAATGCAAGTGAAGGCTATAAGAGAGATCTCCAGCAGTGCTTCTGTCCTCCATTCTGGTGCTGGTACCGGGTTTGCTTAGGGTAAGAAGTGCCACAGATACCTCCCCTGGGACTGTGTTATTGATGGATGTGCTTGCTACTGAGTTGTGCCCCATGTGGTATGTCTGGGAGCAGCTGTACATAATATAATGAAAAATCCCATTATACATTGTGGTTTAGATCGTGAGTGTCAGAGGTAATTTCCACTATGATATAACCTATCTTAGTCTTATTCAGATGTTTTATACATCTTCTTAAATTGAAGTTAACTGATGTGTAATGTAATAGCTATTAAGCCCCATTTATGAGGAGTTGTCTTATGATGCTATGTTAGTCAGCTTGGGCTGCTGTAACAAAAGACCACATACTTAGTGTCTTAAGACAGTGATTTCTTTCTCATGGTTTTGGACCCTGGAAATTCCATATGAGGGTCCAGCAAGGAGCCTCATTTTACCTTAATTACCTTCTACAGACCCTATCTCCAAATATAGTCATGTTAGGGATTAGGCCTTCAACATATGAATCTTGGGAAAATACAGTTCAGTCCATAGCTGATATAAAAAACAAAAACAAAATTGTTGGCACAGTTTCTGTTGACCAAGAAAAAAAATCAGGAAGTAAGCCTATGGGGTTTTGTGGTGATTGATAACCATGGGGCTTTTTAGGATGTGTAGTTACCCATCTGGATATATGGATTGTTCTGTAGATTATAGGAGTTGGAGATCTTTTCTAGCCCTAAAATTCAGTGTTTTAAGGTAATAACCCATTTGGGGGAATCTATTCCAAATAAAAGATGTTTTGTTTTGTTTTGATTGCTCATTCTTTGTTACCCAGAGTATCTAGGGGAAGGTGTAATAGACACACCTGACTGACCTGGGTTTAATTTCTACCTTTTCTACTTATCAGCTAGGTAACCTTCAATTAATTACTGTGTCTCTCTGAGATTGTCTACAAGACAATTAATGCTCACTTTGACTTGCATATATCAGTGAGAATATAGCTATGCTACTGCATATGCTACTAAAACATACTAGCTTCGTTATGAGAAATGATAGAAATTTATTTATCTCATATGTGCAATTCAGAGGTAAGCTGACCAGGGCTGGTAGGAGGCCTTGGACACCAGCCTTCACAGAAGCTTCCATTTCGGAACCAGAGGTGACTGTTCAAATTTTCATTATCTCCCTCTCATGGAAAAGGCAAAAGAATGAGAAGAACTTGTTCTTATTAATTTTTAGGGGCACCATCCTGAAGTGGCACACACAAACTCTGCTTACATTTCTCCCACCATAGTTTAGATGTATGGTGATATCACACAGAGAGACTGGGTAAGAGGTGTCCTCTCTAGTTGTTACTTTATTCACAACAGTTATTCTTCCTCAGATGGTTTTGTAAAGATTAGAAATAATTTATAATTTATCTATACTGAATTGTGAAATACCATAACAAAGTGTTTAGCAAGGTGCTTTGCTCATGGTAAATACCAAAAAGATGTAATCACTCTTTTACTTCCCCCTACCACGTTACTGGTGGTAAGGTGTGGTTCATGGTCTAACAGTTGTCAGCATAACCTAGGATCTTTGGAAATACAGGGTTTCAGTCCCCAGGACAGACCTGCCGAATTACATAAAGAGAAGCCCAGAGCTGACATGTTCTTTGTAAATCTTTTATGGCATTTTACTGGCTGTTAACTTGATCACTTAACAATGGGTTGTGAGAATTAAATGAGATTATATGTATGCAATACTTTAAATCTGTAAAGTGTTTTATAACATTATTTAAGTGTATGTGTATGTGAATCATAAGTTTTGGAATGACAGAATTTGTTTTTAGATTTTCCAACCTTGATAACATTCCTTGATGTTGTAATGTCATGTGAAAAAGGTATTCTATTTCTGGGAAAATTGCTATTCACTGTTGAATTGCTATATACTGTCTGAGGTACAGAGCTTATATTATTATTTAAGGAGATGCTAGGCATACCCCCTAAATTGAGGGTTTTCAGTCTATTTTTAATCACAATTCCTCTATTATGTCTAAATATTTCAGCTTTTTATGTTCTTAATTAAATTGTTACTTCCTTTAATTTTGTGATAGAATATATAGACTTTGACATCAAATGAATATGGAAGTGATTTTTTTTAAGGAAAGATACCTTAAAATATGGGAAAATTTTTATGAGTAGAGAAAGTAGCTAAATGTGAACTTCATCATATCAACGTAAAGAAGTTATGCATCATGTATTAAATTATAAGCAGCCAATCCAGGTTCATACCCCATTGTTGAGCAATAAGAAACTAGGAAAATAACCTGGGAAAGGGATTTGTTCTACCTGTCTCCAGTGTTTTGGGGGTATAACATAAGGTCTTATGAAAATTTACTGTGCATGTGTGCATAGAAGGTATTAATATCGAGTGTTATCACAGCAAGAAGTATATGTGAACGTGTAATGTATGTGAAATAACTAATTATTAAAATGTTTGGCAGAGGTAGGCAATGAGATTGGGTGAAGGTTCAAAAACTACCTATTGGGTAAAGTGTTCACTGTTTGGGGAATGGGGACACCAGAAGCCCACTCCCTACCAGTACTCAGTATGCCCATGTAACAAATATGCAACTGTACCCCTTGAATCTAAAATTAAAAGTTTTAAATAAAAAAAAAAAAGTTTGGCAACAAGCTTGTGAACTGAGCGAGGGCCCTGATAGTTCCGTAAGATTCACGACAGCAGGTGTTCAGGCCTGGGTTCTCGCCCCACGCAGTCAGGAGCCCAGTGAAGTACACACTCATCTGTTTCTGCAGGTCAGTTAGGTATCAGTCATGTGAGGAATGCAGGTCTAAGTGATGCTCATCTGATGCATACAGGGAAAGCCTGGGTTTTAAAAAAGAAGAAGAGCCGTCATCCAAGAAGTTCACAGAGGAAGGGAAGTTCTGAATAATGGATTTTTCTGGGTCCCTGGAAGTCATACTTTTGCTCTCCTGTCTGTCACTGGGAGGGATAACCACAGTGGAAGAGATTCTTGCTACAACTTTAGGGGCAAGCACACCCAAGGCCTATGGACTTGGGGCTGATAAATTCAAAAATATGACTAGGCCTTGCATTTCATTCTGTATTCCTTTTTATTAGCATTCAGCAAATGAATGCTGAACTTTCAACATGGGAGTAGAGGCTGGGGGGATAAACAAATGCATATGATATAATTTTCCTTTAAGGAAAGTTTCAGTTGGTTAAGGAGATAATAAACAGCTTTATCACTGAGAAAGGTAATAACTAACATTTGTACTGTAGTTTAAAATAGATTTTGGTACATTATGCCCACATTTTTAAAACATGCATACATATGGGCACTTAAAAATAAATCGGTCTGTATTTAAAATATATAGGGGAAAAAACAAAATAGACTGTACATCAAAATGTTAATGGTGATTAAAATTTAAGTTATTTTTATTTGTGCTATTTTCTCTATCTTCAATGGACAGGTATTGTTTATAGAACCACAAAAATATACAGTAACATACTAAATGTTTTAAGCTTCCAAAGCATTTTTATACGCACTCTCTCATGTGGGCCTCACAACTATCCTGTGAAGTCAGTAATGAGTATTAACATTCCACATGAGAGAAATGGAGGAGACAGACATACGTTCAACTCAGGCTCTCAGGAAGTTAAATGCAGTCAGCTTACGTGATACAGACAGTGCTGAACAAGTAGCAAATGACAAAACCAGGAACAGAGGAACAAAAATGAATACTGCTTGAATGAAAAGGAAATGTGAAAATTATTGAATATTGAATATTAGAAGAATATTTGGAATATTTGTAGATTTTAGGGCACGTGTGGCTTTTGACTTTGCTCTGGTTCCCTGTACTGAGTCCTGGTTCTGTTTTATCAGACTCAGAGACAGTGGTTATGTTTGAGTTTGGGACCAGTTTGAGTTTGCTTTTCGATTCTGGCATGGCCTAGCTATTTGACTTAGACAGTTAAATAGGCAAATGGGACCTCCATTTGCCTATTTCTAAAATAAGACAAATACTAGTAGCTACTGTAAGGATTAAATGTGTTAATATGTAAAAGAGCATTGAAAAGTGTATGGGACATAAGGAGGACTCAACACATATTAGCTGCCTGAAGCTAGTCATCCTCATTCCTATGGTATAGGGCTGATATGGATGTTGACAGATTAATCATAGGAAAGACACAGATGTATATCAAATGTATATAGATGTATGCCCCAAAGTACTGATAGCTGTAGATGAGGGAGGCAAAAGAATTATGAAGTTAAATATATGAGAAATTTTGTGCTGATATTATTGGATGATTCAGCTGCCTGATTAAATCCATACTAACCCCTCCCTGACTATTACAAATGTTTGGAATCTGTGTATACACTTAGATTTTCTATCTGATTATACTGTGTTGTAAGGTAAGTAATTGTCCTCAAATTAAGAATGGTGATTTTTGTCATGAAAAGACCTTGACCATGGATCAGGGAATGGTGTGTGCTATGAGGGTTAGTTTGAACTGTCCTACTGAAATAAGTAGACTTGTATGTCTCTGAACCCTGGTAAAGGCATGAATGGTGTTGCTTTGTAAACACTGAGTCCAAAAGGTTTCAGGGCAATCTGTACTAATTGTCAGCATTATATATTGACAACAGTGAGAGGGAGGGTTCACCTCTGGTCTCTGAGAGAGCTCTGCAGGACACTGCTGTTGAGGCTGGTTACATAGCAGGAATGTATCTAAGTGATCGAACAAAATATAAAAAATACCAGCCAAGACTCCATCCCAGAAGCATCCTGAAATACTACTGGTTGAATTTAGATCACCCAGATAAAATGTATGGTGTGATATTTACTGCTTTAATATCCTATTGCTAAATTGTTTTAAGTTCTTCAATTCTCACATAGATAAATTATTGACATCCCAAAATGTCGGGGCAGGAGCCTACAGTAAACCTCTTTTCTCCTCTTATCCATGCTGTAAAACATGTAAAATATTGCTTTGTTATTTTTTTCAGACCCCCTGGTTGTGGAATACAAGACACTGCTGGTACAACTACCCCTATCAGGTAGGGAGGCATTATTGTCTGGGTTTTTATACACACAAAGTATCTTCCTGAGGTCAATTCTGTGGTCTCTGGCAGGTCCCAACAGGTTGGGCAACTGTCTTGCTTTTGCCTCATCTTTGCTGATCAATGCTGTACGTAACCTAGCAAAGATGGTAATTTGTGTGTTCTTAGGAAGTTCAGGATCCAAGCCCAATGGCTCTAGCAGATGGAGTAAGTTTGGAAGGTACATTTGCTAGAGAATAGGATTCATCAGTTCAACAGGCTGATAATTCCTGTTCATAGCAGCCAATCTGCTTCTCATCACTGAGGAAGGTCTGAAGACCTGTTGACAGCACAGGCCGGTCTCAACAGCAGGTGGAAAAACTCAGATGTGGGGCTGGAGCATGCATACTGAGTTCAGTCACTTTGTAGCTTGAGAGCAGCCTCTAAATATGAGGGGGAACCCCCCCCAAAAAGCAACAAAATTATATTTTGAAAGGTGGGTCCCTTGTAGTACACTCGGAATGTGTTCTTCTGGATCATATGGTCAAACAAAGTTTTTATCTAAAAGTTTTGGGAAGGTTTTGCCACAATTTGCAGCAGTAACATCCCGAATTGTAGCAAACAGGTGACAGGCTCTTCTATTGTGACAATGTACCTGCCCTCACTGTGCTGAGTGTTCAGCAGTTTTTGACCAAAACAGCCTGATTCCCATGCCCCACCCTCCCTATTCACCTGATCTCGCCCCAGGTGACTTTTTTTGTTTCCTCGGATGAAAAAGTTCTCAAAGGGAAATGTGTTGCTGATGTGGAAGAGGTGAAACAAAAAAATGGCAGAAGCACTAAAAGGCATCAAAACTGACGAGTTCAGAAATGGTTTTGAGCAATGGAAAAAGCATCTCGATAGATGTATTGCATCAGATGGAAAGCACTTTGAAAGTGACTGATGTTTGGACATGTAAGAGTAAACACAATTTTTTTTATAAGTAAATTCCAGTGTTTTGGGGGTCCCCCGTATGTAAATCAAGCACTATTTTCTTGAGTATAGAAAAATGTGCTCATACCATTACATGTGGATAGATTATCCCTGCATCTAAAAAATAAGTATCAATAAGCCGGGCTCAGTGGCTCAGCCTGTAATCCCGCACCTTTGGGAGGCTGAGGTGAGTGGATTGCCTGAGCCCGCAAGTTCGAGACCCGCCTGGGCAGCAAGACCTCATCTCTACAATAAATAAAAAAAAAAT